ACACTGGTTAGGCACCTTAGGACAGGTGATAAAAACTCACTTCAAGTGCTTTGTGGTTTTAGAGTGATTCCTCATGAGAAATGCACATTATCAATATATAATAGTAGCAATAACTTACTTTGAATGGTTTCCCACTTTCAAATGGGAAAACCGACTGTCTTTCTTCCCTTCCCCAGTTATTATCCAGCTTTGTATTGCAAACAATGACTCTCCTGTTGTTCTCATTGAAGCGTGGGTTAAAGTGGAAGGCAACATCATTCCTTCTCTTGAAATCTAAAGCAATTCTGTTTTAAACCAAAGACCAGTTATTAAAATGATTAAAACTGTATATCTACACGAAGTAAAGAATACAATTTTCTAAAAAGCAAATAATTTCATAATACAGTACCTAGGAAATTTTTCTGAACAGAAAGCAAATCAGAATGGGTTCAAACTGGAAAGTATCCTACGCCTGATATTCTATGTACTATCATAAAATCTAAAGGTAAGCAAGACAATATATGTTGAATTTTTTTGCCTCATTGTCTTCGATCATATTTCCATTCATCTGTAATGCCTCCTTTACAGACTCATGAAAACCCTTCAAGGTTTTCTTACAGAGGTTTAGAGCCACTCTGAGGATACTTTATCCCTTACTATAGATAATGGTTATCTCTTTCCTGCTCTTCCAGTTTGCTTTCAATCCCTGGTAAAGGCAAGCCAGCTATATAGTTAACAGCCATCAAATGCCTGGCTTCCTCGTAATTAACCAGAAGCCCTAGTTCCTCTAAAACAGCAAGGATGAGATAAGGTAGTTAATATTCAGTATCTTGTTGCTAAGTTGTAAAGTCATGATAGTAAATACAGTAAACATTCTATGATGTGAGCTGGAACCAATGAAATTGCTAGTTTAGCTTTTTGACCCTGTTCCTTCTCCCTGGATGTTAATGCAAACACAAATCCTCTATGACTAACCCCATCCCTGAGTTTCTCAAAGTGTGCTCTATAGAGCAGTAACACCAGAATCATCAGTAGGTATTCTTATTTTAAAGCCAGGTCTGCACTCAAGACCAACTAACAAAGATTCTCTGTATTTTGATTCACCCAGTAAAAGTCACATTCAACCACAAATGATCTTCCAGTGATTAAATTTGTAAGGAAAAAAAGCAATAGAATTTGCATTTGACTAAATATACAATGTTGTCATCTCTGTCACCTTAAGCACTTTTTTTTTTCTATGCAGTTCGTCATATAGAATTTGCAGGACTAAGCAAGTTTTTTTAGTTTACTACCATTAACCATTTCAACCAGAATTAGTTTTGATCTGCCAGTCTCAATCTACATCTCTAGCATTATTAGAACTAAACTTTCCAGTGAAATGACTCTAACAAGACAAGGATACCACACTGGGTATTCAGTGTGCATTAGGGGTTGTGGGAGGAGGAGAGCAGATATTTAATAAATCATGAGTGCTGTGTGCACAGGATAAGGTGTGCTGGGTTCTATGTGATGTTGGGAGGAAATACGGATAAGGACATAGAGGATATATATATTTTGCAATTTGCTATGAGACGGGCATTATTGTATGGGGAAGTTCTGTGCTTACAGAAATTGTCTAGGCTGTGTGGAAAGATGGGTTGGCTTAGGATAGTGACTACCATTGCAGAAACAGGGGAGACTGGCTGAGGTGGAGCGAATGAGCATTTCAGTGTGAAATTATCAGATCAGAAGTGAAGTCCATCTCTTGATGGCAGGATGTGGAGCAAGGTGACAGACACTGAGACTGTTTATGGATTCTTGCATAAACCTGTGTACATGGCTTGAATCTGTACCATTTAGGTACTGTTCATAAGACCTAGAGATTCTTCCACTAACCTCAGGCGCAAGCATCCCGGATGGTTTCAGGACATGGCCAGCTTCGTTGTATAACATGTAAATACTACATAACCAGTGGTGACAACCAGGGCCAAGTGGCCCAGGACAGCCATAATTAGCATGTATTTTCCTAAATAAAGCCTTACCCCATCCTAGCCCACCTCATCAATCAAACCACTTCCAATAGCAAAGATTGATTTATTATGATGAAGTTTTTAACTTGAAGAATCTCTTCAAACCCAGAAGCAAATAGTATCTAATCAAAAGACGGGTTCCCAGGCCTGCCACTGATCATCTGTAGAACCTGAGCCTCAGTTTTGTCTATAAAAAGGGGAAAGCAATATTCCTTATCCTGCCTTCAACCATGGAGATTAGCTGACATAATACATATCAAAGTATAGAATAAGGTGTGTTACCATTTACTATGAGTGCCCTGATGCTTAGCAAAATTATATGGGAATATGTACAGATTTATGGGATAATCCTATATGATGGTATAGCCAAGATTCTAAATATGTAGTTTTTTTAAATTTTATTAAAATTCAAAATAGCACCATAAGACAGGGCAAGAAAAAAAAAAATCAAAATAGGCCATTCTTTATTCAAAAACCAGTCTACAAATAGGGTAGGCTTGTTAATTTTGCTCTCCTTACCTGTTTGCATTAGGCTTCACCGTGCCCAGAATTGTTATCAGCATGCGAGGCACCACTCCTCCAGGCAAAGGCAGGTTATAAGGCACAGACTGGGAATGAACAAGTACATATGGGAGTCATGTTTCTTTAGGGAAAGAAAACGATGTTGCTGAAGTTCCATTACTATTAATATGTGTGAAAAACACATAACTCTAGTATATGCCATCTGTCCAGACTCTCAGGCCACTTTGCCCAGGGGCCAAAGAGATAAGGTTCCTTACATGTACAAATAATTGAAAAGAAAGCCATCAGTAAGTCTCATTACTATGGCCATCCCAATCTACTCATTCATGTTGGCTATTTTTTGGAAAGGCTTAAGCTAGATCTTGTGATCAACATTAACATTTTTGTATCACTCTTAAGGCCCTGTCATGTAACTTGCTTCACTGTGGTTATTCTGGTTCCTGGGGGCAAGCAGCATATCACATACTGGGCTTGTGGGTTCTCATATGGTCTGTACTCATATGGCTCCAGCAGAGTGCTTTGCACGTGGCAGATACTCAATATTTATAGAATGAACACTGTTAAAACTGAGGTTCATTCTACAAATGTTTATTGACCATCTACATTCAAGGTACTGTGAATATCCCCAAAGCTCTATTTATTTATGGCCTCTTTTCTTTCCTTTTTTAAGGCTTCCCTCTGGGTTTAACTATCACCCCAACCTTTTCATTTTTTGAGACAAGGTTTCAAAAATCCAGGTCTCTGTTGTTGAGGATGGAGTGCAGTGGTGTGATCATAGCTCACTGCAGCCCCGACCTCTCGGACTCAAGTGATCCTCCTGCCTCAGCCTCCCACAGTGGTGGGATTATAGGCATGAGCCACCACAGCCAGCCTATCCAAATCTTTTCTTTCTAGTCCTGATGTGTATTAGTCCTGTACTTCTTCCCACCTGGATTTGCTGCTAGTGCCTCAAATTCAACAAGTGTGAACTAGAATGGTCTTCCCTCCCCCTCCCCCATCAGTTCCCCTTCATGAGTTCCCAGTTTTGGCTAAAGCTTTGCTGATGGCTCTAATTGCTCAGCCTTGAAAAGTCAGAGTCTTCTATATCTTCTAAGACATAATCAGTAGGTTCTGGGGGTTCTTCCTCTGTCATCTCTCTTACATCTGCCTGTTCCTTTCCACAGCCTTCATGTCCCCCTCTCTCTGCAACTGACTAACCATCTCTGGTATAGGCCCATCTCAATGCCACCCACTCCCCCAAGTCTTTCTACTCTGAACCGACCTAAAAGGAAACAATGCTATCTTGTGCCATCTTCTGCATAGTTCTGAAATGGTCTAATCCCACACTGGTACTTAGCTCTTTCCTCATATTTATTATATGTTTTATCATCTAACTAGACTATAAATCTGGAAAGGAAGGATCCTGTGGCTGAGATGTATCTGGATCCCCCACGGAGTTATGTTTTACATTTAGAATTCACTTGCTAAGACATACTTTAATTTGCATGAAAATTCAACCCTTAGATCACAAAATTATCTTTAGAAGGTTTTTCAAAACCAGATTACCCTGCTTCCTCTACCTGTTTGCTCAATGACCCTGGACAAATTATATCACTTCTGTATTGCCCCATTTCCCCACATGTGAAATGGGGTTATTAACAGTATCTTATAGGGTGGTAATGGGGTTAAATTAGATCATCCAGGTAGATGCATATTATTGACATGTACTCAGTAAGTGTTAATAATAACCAAAATGTTCTCCATTACTACAATTTTGGTTTATATTCATAAGCAGCTTTATCAGTGCCTTCAAAATATTCATTACCTTCTGTTTATACTAACCACACACAATAAGCTCAACATGAACACTTAATTTTTCGACTCTACCAACATACGCCCATGGCTGGCCCTTGAGAAGTGGCTGTCACAGCAAGTTTAAAGCTCAGGGTCTCCCTGAAGCCCTCTGCATGCCAAGTACATGAAAGGAGGAATGCCATCTCACCAGTGGCCCAGCAGGGGCGCCATAGGGCCCAGTGGCAGGGTAGGCTCCAGGAGCACTTGGCTGTCCAGGAGATGGGTAGGCCCCAGCGCCACTGGGTGGCCCTGGGTAGACTCCAGATGCTCCGGAATAAGCTCCAGGTGCTCCAGGGTAGGCGCCTGGAGGTGCCTGTCCAGGATAAACCCCTGGGGGTGCCTGCCCGGGGTAGGCCCCAGGATAGGAGGCCCCTGGGTAGCCCCCTGCCCCAGCAGGCTGGTTCCCCCATTGGCCAGGCCATCCTTGAGGGTTTGGGTTTCCAGACCCAGATAAGGCATCATGGAGCTGTAAAGAAAGACATAAACAATTACAGGACAGAAAGCATTCTCAAAAGCAGAATTTTCAGGGAAAGAGGAATATGTGATCTAAGAAGGAGAGGAATATGGCAAAGGCATTACATGCATATCATTATACTTTTTCCACTTGTTAATAGTTTTGAGTGTCTAAGACTAAAATTAGACGTTGGGGTTACATATGCTTTTTCACTTTGTTCTTGCCTCCCAACGTCTCAGATCAGGGAGGGCTGCATTTCATAATTAGCGCAAGTCAGGAGCTAGCGCTCCTCTATTTACAGCACATATTTTTTAATCACTGTGAGAAAAACAATCACAAACATCAGAATGCCCAGACTGTACCGCGCTTCCCGCTACTCAGAGGATTTCTCAGCTCCTGCCAGCAGAGTCCACTCCCTTCCGCCCTGGGCCTTTTGGTGAAAGGGTTACTGTGAGTGAGTCCCAGGCCTTGCTCTGCCTGGCTTTCTTCCCAAATCTGCTGCTGGAAAAACAAGGCTCCAGCTCACAAGCCCTCGTTGGACAAATGAGTCTAGGGGAAGCCACACAGTGGGAGAGTGAAAAGGGAAAGTCATGGTAAAAACAAAACCCCCAACCCTCAACCATGTGGAGTTGATCGAGGGTAAGAAACAGGCATAAAACACTTACCGAAAAATTGTCTGCCATTTTCCTGAGAGAAAAAGAGACAAAGGTTATCATTTGATCCTGAAAGCTTTCACCGATTTCCATTAAATTGAACCTCACCACTAGTTCATTGTGCAGTTCTAGTCAATCTCTAGGCATTATGCCTAAGTCAGTAGTGTGGGACCACACAACATCTCTTCAAGGGAAAGGGATGCTTTCCAGCTAGATTGTGAGTTAAATATAACTCACAAGTTTAAACTTCCATCACACTAGCCTGTGCTCTGAATCCTGAGACCAAGAGGCCATACAATGCATGAGGGAGGAGGAGGCAGGGAGGAAGAAAAGGTCCTGTCCCTTTTCCAGGTGAAAAATGTAAACGGTCATGGTTTCTCTTTGGTTCTTCTTCACCTTCCTTCCTTACCCCTTATAAAGGGTTTGGTGTGTTCATCTTACCCATCTGCCCTCTGTCCCCACTAACTGCCCCATCCCCTCCTCTGGGTTTTTGAAGATCAGCAGTGATTGATTGCTACTGAGACAGGAAAGACAATGACCTCCAGACATAGTTGCTGCCCTGTTATTTATTCCTCTATTTGCACACACTTATGCCTGCTCTTGGTCAGGCACAGCGCAGGCTCCTGTCTAGGTGCGAAGATGAATAGGCCATGATCTGCATGGTCAAAGGGGCCATGGGATCTAAAACTCAAAACGATTGAGCCCACAGAGGTATAGAGTAGAAGGATGGTTACCAGAGGCTGGGAAAGGTAGTGGGGGTGGGTTAGTGGGAGGGAGGTGAGGATAGTTAATGCGTGACAAAAATAGTTACAATGAATGAATAAGGCCTGATATTTGACAGCACAACAGGGTGACTATAGTCAATAATTTCATTGTACATTTGAAAATAACTAAAAGTATACTTGGATTGTTTGTAACACAAATAAATGAGAATATGAATACCCCATTTTCCATGATGTGATTATCATGCACTACATACCTGTGTCAAAACATCTTTATGTACCCCATAAATATACATACCTGCTATGTACCCATAAAGATTAAGAATTTAAAAAAAAGCCAAAGGGCCCACAGTCCAGCAAGGCAGATGAGATGCATCCATGGAAATGTGAAATAACAAGTCACGAATGCTATGAGTCAGAATGTGTGCTGTAGGAATTCAAACGCAGAAAGCTTACTTCTAAGAAGGAAAGGAAAGGTGCTGTTGGAGCTAAGCCTCAAAGGGCAGCTGAAGTTTGTATGTGCTTTCTTTTTTTAAAGGTACTTGTTATTCCAAATAAAATCTTTGGTAGTACAACAAACTAAGGTGAAAAAATTCAGGCAACGTGAAAGAAAAAAATATTTGGGTGTAAGATGCTACCAAAGAGGGTTTGCCTTGCCCAAAGCTGCCACAAGGGGTGGTCTAGAGACATCAATCCTGCTTTCTCCTGTTCCTTCCCATGTCAAGGCTCCTAAAGCACAAGATGCTTCACAGCTGTTGCAGGTGCTCCAGCTGTGAGGGGAGGAGGGCAGCTGGGCCCCTGAGGCATGGGTGAGTTCTTCCTAAGCTCAGGATCACCTGTGCCATGGCCTGAATTACGTAGACCTTGAAACAACCAGAATATCCTTGATTGCCTACCTGTGATATTTACTCAATCACTTTTAGAAATGACATCGCCCCAAGGGATTCAATAAATGTCCACTACTTGATTCAAATGCAAGATATTGGCTGGGCGTGGCTCATGCCTGTAATCCCAGCACGTTGGGAGGCTAAGGTGGGCGGATTGCTTGAGCCCAAGAGTTCAAGACTAGCCTGGACAATATGGCAAAACCCTGTCTCTATGAAAAATACAAAAATTAGCCAGGTGTGGTGGTGCAGCCTGTGGTCCCAGCTACTTGAGGGGCTGAGGTGAGAAGATCATTTCAGCCTAGGAGGTCAAGGCTGCACTGAGCTGTGATTGCACCACTGCACTCCAGCCTGGGTGACAAAGCGAGACCCCATCTCAAAAAAAGAAAGAAAAGCACAAAATATTACATTTTTTGTGGTAAAACTCAAACAGGCAGAGCTCCTCCTAGAGCTTAACATGCTTCATTTATACACACTGGATATTTTATACAGGTTGAGTATCCCTTATTTGAAATAGGACCAGAAGTGTTTCTGATTTCCATTTTTTTTTTTAGATTTTGGAATATGTCCATATACCCAGTTAGGCATCCCTAATCTGAAGAGCCAAAATCCAAGACCTCCAGTGAGCATTTCTTTAGAGCATTACCTCTGAGCATCATGCAGGCATGCAAAAAGTTTGGGATTTTGGAGCATTTCAGATTTCTGCTCTGGGGATGCTCATCCTGTACTATACTGCTATTATTTATATTATAGTCAGACATTACCTTTGACTAAAATATTTTTGCACCTCTTTTTTTTTGAGACAGGGTCTTGTTCTGTTGCACAGGCTGGAGTGCAGTGACATGATTTCAGGGCTCACTGCAGCCTCCACCTCCCAAGCTCATGTGATCCTCCCACCTCAGCCTCCCAAGTAACTGGGACTACAGGCACACAACACCACACCCAGCTGAGTTATTATTTTCGTAGACACCGGGTCTCACTATGTTGCCCAGGCTGGTCTCAAACTCCTGGGTTCAAGTGATCTTCCCACCTCAGCCTCCCACCGTGCTGGGATTACAGGCATGAGCCACCACATCCAGCCACACATCTCTTTTTGAACATGGTCATTCTGAAACCTATTCAGAAGTGGTTAGGTTATGACCATGCCCATTTTCCAACCTAGGGAACTGCTGGCAGCTTGACAGGGAAGTCACGGTGACTCCAGCGGTTACTGCATCTTTCATTTACTTTTTACATCCTGTAGTGCTTGGCTTTTTAAAGCAAAAGTTGTGAGCTCCTCTGCATGTGCCTCCTTCCCCAAAAGGCTGCCACACTATTGTATAAGAAACTGTGTTGCTACAGGAGGGGGAACCTGAGAGAAGAGTTGTTACAGAAAAGGAAAATAAATGAAAATTTTTAATTCGGGAAAAGAAAGTCTCCCTCATTTTGGATGCCAGTAGGAAACAATTTTGAACTTCAAGGTGGGCAGAAAGCTTAGTTCCTTTAATTACACATACTTCTTCCAGCCTAAGGCAACATATCAAAGACCCAGCAATAATGTTATCAACATTTTGATTTCTTTTAAATGTCCTCATTGCACAGGAGCTTATTGTAAACCTCAGGACCACTGACACTTCAGGTCAGATGCTTTGCTGTGGGGCGCTGTCCCGTGCGCTATAGGATGTTCAGCAGCATTGCTGACTTCATTACATATGCTGCCAGAACTCCAGCACACCACACTCCAACTTGTGACAACCAAGTGTCTTCAGGCCGGGTGAGGTGGCTCACACCTGTAATCCCAGTCATTTGGGAGGCTGAGGAGGGAATACTGCTTGAGCCCAGGAGTTCAAGACCAGCCTGGGCAATATAGTGAAACCCCAGTTTCTACCAAAAAAAGGAAAAAAAAATGTCTTCAGACATTGCCAATATCCCCTGGGAGCAAAATCATGGCTAGTTGAGGACCGCCAATCTAGCTAGTTAGCAGTGTATCCCTACATGAATGTACACACGTGGTTCCACAAAACCAAAAAGGTAGTTTCAATTGTTCAAACTAGCCTGAATTTGCTTTATAAAGGGTCCTAACATCACTCTATTCAAATTAAGATGTGTTTAAAGGCTGATTCCAACCAGAAAGTCAAATAAAGAAGGCATTTCCATAATTTAATATTTATTCTTTTCAAAGCCTCCGCTCAAGCATGTTTAGTTTATTTTCCAATCTAACCCAATCCAGTTTGGGAAACAAAGCAGCTCTCACTGCATTTCCACTGTTTCAACACCACCTCGGAGAGCAGTATAGATTCTGTCTCGACATATTAGACAAGGCCACTAGAACAAAACCTGGCATTTGTGTGGTGCTTTTCAGCTTATAAAGCATGTTCACATACCTTATCTATTTTAGTTATAATGACAATCTTTGTGGTGAAATCTTGTACTGTCCTGCCATCTCGCTGTCCAGCCTGGGGCATAAATCATCCCTTTGTCCAGCCTATCCACACTGCAGATGCTACCCACCCACAAGTTACTTAGTAGCAGGCTTGGTTATCAGATTAAAAAAACAGTATATATAGGGTTTGGTACTATCCATGGTTGAAGGCATCCACAGGGGGTCTTGGAATGCATCCCCTGAAAATAAGGGGGAGACTCCTGTGTTCTCACCATAAGGAAACTGAGGCTCAGAGAGAGAACATGGTGGCCCAAAGTCATCTGTCATTGGCAGATCAAGGAGTAGGGCTCGTGTCTTTTTACTCCTTATTTAGGCTCATTCTACACCAATAGAAAATATCACACTTTGAAATTTTAAAGTACAGTCCTTTGAAAGTGTTAATTACTTCATTGGGAAATTAATTCTCTGACTCATCTGTAACTACATAACACTGAAATCGTAAACAAAATTTTAAAAGGATTGTGTTTTGGTCAGAAAACTAACTGGGTGATTCATTCAAGCACAAAATAATATTGAATATTTAATACAAGAATGCCATTTTGTGTAGTCACTTTGCTAATTATAACCACATTTTAACCAATAAAGTGTACTTTTCCAAAAATTGGGTATGTACGGTTTTGATTATGTCAACTTCCAACCATGAGATTTCTTTTTTGAAAAGCATTATAGGCCGGACGCAGTGGCTCACACCTGTAATCCCAGCACTTTGGGAGGCCAAGGCGGGAGGATCATGAGGTCAGGAGTTCGAGACCAGCCTAGCCAACATAGTGAAACTCCATCTCTACTAAAAATACAAAGAATTAGCCAGCTGTGGTGGCAGGCACCTGTAATCCCAGCTACTAGGGAAGCTGAGGCAGGAGAATTGCTTGAACCCAGGAGGCAGAGGTTGCAGTGAGCCAAGATGGCACCACTGCACTCCAGCCTGGAAGACAGGGCAAGGCTTCATCTCAAGAAAAAAAGGAAAAAAAAAAAAAGCATTATAACTGATGCTCTTTTCAAATCAAGATTATTAACCTCAAAACTTCCAGGAAAACAAAAAAGACATCTATTCAGATAAATATCATCCTTACTTGCCTGAAAATTTTTTTCGTTTTTCTTTTCAGATGAGTAGTTTACAGAGAGAGACATACAATCAAATGTCAGAAATCCTCCCACTCTACAGACACTATAGATATGTGAACCCCATCCTGGTGTTTCCAGGATCAGAGAATTTTGAAGAGTCAGAGGGGAAAAAAAAAAAACAACACTTCAAAAAATGGACTAAAAGTAGAGAAATACTAGCTGGGTCTCCACATTTGTAAACATCTACAGTAAGCAGTTCAGTGTAGCTTTGGAATAAGGAATTTAAACATGAGTTAGAATACAGACCGTTTTAATCAGTTGTTAACTGGTAGCTTTTCCCTTTAACAAAGCGTAGCCGCGCTATGCTATTCTAGGCCCACCCAGCAATCAGTCTGGTTGTCTGGGTTCCCAGGAACACTTCTGAAATTTCTGCTCATAAAGGTCCCTGACCTGTACGCAAGCCGTAACGGAAGAAGACTATTTCCTGAGCCCCTAGGCACTGCCCCACACTGCTCCTCAAGTAGCACAAGAGGCAGTCTACTTTCTGTCCTTGCTGAAACACAGAGCAGGACTTGAGGAAAGCCCATTTTCCAAAGACAAATTCAGTGATGCTAAGCTGAAATAAAGGGAACTGGTCCTTTCCTAGGATTTCTTTCTCATCATAGCTCCCTGGCATCAAGGAAGGTAGAGTTACTTTCTGTTTCTCAGTGACTGATTTTTTCCCACTATGGAAAAGCTGAACAGGGGTCAAAAGAGAACACATGACACTTAGTCAATAGCGAACTGGAAGTATACAGCAAGCACTGCCTAGCCTGGCTCTCAAATTACCCACTCAGAATTTAATGAGAAGATCAGTTCAGGCACCAGACACAAGGAGCTACCCTTGAGTGGGAGCCTGTGTCCCAAACGACAGGAAAGAAGAGCTACGTTTGAGATCAGTTACCGCAAGTATCAAGTACATAGGTTTACAAGTCACTTGGAATTTAAGGTCAACACGAGATTCTGAAGGCATACTACATGAACATAGGTCTCGGCTGCAGTTAAGGTTTATAGTCTGGCTAATGAAAGTTCTATGTAAAAAGGTACCTAAATTATACATGAGACCAGCATTAGCCTCTTGACCCCACTAAGTGAAAAGTCTTTATAAAGCACCTATGCATATTTGTAGCACAGCGAACTATCATAGATTAAAGACCCCTTAACAGAGCAAGACACCTATTCTACTTGGACACAACTAGTTTTCAGGGTCAATCCATCAGGCGGTACTCGTCCTCTTCTGCTTCTTACGTAACTTAGTGAGGCATCCTCCTAGCACTTCTAAGTGCTAAATATTCAAGGACCATCATCAAACTTCTCCCCAGAATCTGGACTAAGTGCTGATTTTAAATGTCACCTCTAAATATGAATTTAGGAAGCTGCTTAAATCCCCCAAAGATCAAGGATGGGGTATGATCATCCCTAGAATGAGAGACCCTACCCTAAGGATTTAGAGTCAATGTCTAAAAGGGAGACCATTGTTGGAGAAAAGTAAATGATCATTATTCAACTTTACCTTTCATGGAAACACACAATTTCCTAGCATGAAATGTTTATAAACTTGAGGTAGGCCAGGCGCAGTGGCTCAGGCCTGTAATCCCAGCACTTTAGGAGGCCGAGGCGGGTGGGTCACCTGAGGTCAGGAGTTCGAGACCAGCCTGATCAACATGGAGAGACACCCCCATCACCACCACTACCATCACTAAAAATACAAAATTAGCCGGGCATGGTGGCGCATGCCTGTAATCCCAGCTACTCGGGAGGCTGAGGCAGGAGAATTGCTTGAATCCAGTAGGCGGAGGTTGCAGTGAGCCGAGATCGTGCCATTGCACTCCAGCCTGGGCAACAAGAGTGAAACTGCGTCTCAAATAAACAAACAAAAAACACAAAAAACAAAAACCTTGAAGTAAACAAATCAGAACTTTGGAAGCTGACGACAGCTTTTTCTTCTCAAGCTCTGTGCCCAAGTGGTTCATTGTATCAGCCTCATTTTCTTCAGAATTAACTGAGCCTTCTCCCATTCCTTTCCCACAAACCTAGAAACAGCCTGGGTCACTGAGGTCCAGGTGTCCTCATTGAGCAGCAACCCAACTCCCAGAGTCACTCAAACATTCCGCAGTCTCTGGAATCGGCATGGCTAACTTGAAGGGTAAGACTGAAGCCTAAGTCTCCCAGCCTCCACCATGCGTCCCCGATTCCCTGGCCCTTAGCACCTACTTCTCAGAGGGCAATCGTTTTAGTGTTTCTATTTGAGCACCCAATAATTCAGAATAAACTCTCATACATGTTTTGGGAGTCCCCCGCTAGGGCTCTGCACACTAGGACCAACATTCTGCCACACCCAACACTTTCTCGGCACAGACAGTCTGGGCAGGGAGGGGCATTTGATTCGGAAAAGCTTAGAGTTTGCAGTCTTCGCTAAGCCGGGTCATGCCCACTCAGGCCATGGGGCAAGCACCATTTCTGTGGGATCAGCAACCGGAGAGCGGCTGCAGCCCGGCCGCAGCTGGTCCTCGTGGAAGAACTCATCCGCGCCCCACAGAGAGATCTCCTCCGAGTCCAGCCTCAGCTGATGTTCAAAAGGGGCCGGGCGAGCCAAGCTGTGGGTCCCGGGAGGCGCCCTATGCAGTCCTCAGAAGTCCCTTCGCTCCCCCGCGGCCGAGCTCTGGGGAAGGGTGACCCGGCCCCAACCCCAGTTAGAGAAACTGGAGCGGCCGTCTGGTTTGCTGAGCGAGTCCCTCCGCCTCCCCTCGCAGCGGGACCTGGCAGGACTGGGGTGACCAGACCGCGGCTCTTCACCGGATGGGGCTTACTGCGGGGCCGCAGAGCGCAGCCGGCGGACGTGCGACGGCGGTGAAGCCCCCGAGGCTCCGCAGAAGGTGGCCCGTGCCGCCGCGGGGACGTGTGTGGG